TCGATCACATTGCACGGAAAATGTATTTCAATGGGCAAAATTTTAGAAAATTTAATGGAAGCTTGTCCTATATTTGGACAATTTCATGAAATACTGTACCATCGCTCAACGATAATATGTGCGAATAGACATTATTTTCTGTTTCATTCCATCGATGAGCTTTTTTTCCCATTCGTTCGTTTGAAGTATCTGCATAGGAGTGTTTTTTTTTTCAGTTTTTGATGTCGACCGAAGAAAAAAAAACAATGTGTTTGTTGCGAAGTAACACCTGAAATTAAAGTGAATGTATCTTATGCGCCTGGATTGAAAGTGTGAAAAGAAAGAAGAAGAACAAAAAACGAAATGAACAATGAAATTTCGACATTTTGGTGGAAAATAATAAAACGAACAAAACCTCAAAACGCAAGCATTCAAATAGAACCTATTGATTTTCCAATCATTTTTTTTTCTTTCGCTCGACGATTTTTATTCTGTGTTGTGAATTGTCTTTCGCCACTTGATGCGAATTCAAATGTGTGTTTGTGTGCTTATTGACTTAATTCGATTGATTGAATTTGTAACCGAGAAAGAAAAAGAGAGAAAGAGCATGACATACTCATCGAGCCAATCCATCTTACTTCCACTGCACACCATTGCACTTTTGCGTTTGGCAAAAGCGAACACAGCTTTGGTGGCGTATCAAAGCAAACAACGAAATTAACATGAAATTTCATCGAAAAATTGAGTTAAGGGAACTTCCGCTGCGGTTGCAGTAATAACATTTTTCACTTTAATTTACTGCACAAAAGAAGAGTGGAAGAGAGAGAGAGAGAGAGTTATAGAATAAGAAAGAAGGAAGAAAGAAAGGGACAAAGTGAAAGTTACGAGATAAGGCAAACAAAGCACTGCATATTTGATGACACATCACTGTCATGATAGACACTGAAAATCTCAGCAGCATCAAGACATAATGATAGCGTTCGACGTAATTCTCATCTCTGATTTATTATTGATTGAGCTTGTGTGTGTGTGTGTGTAAAAAGCGCTTCAAACCGCATAAGTCATCAGCCATAAAATGCTTGACATTTCTTTGCAGTGCATACATAGTTGGTACTTGCACATCGTCACATCGTTTTACATCGCCACATGGAATCATAAAGTGGCTGGTTACGACGTATTGTGTATGGGTGTGTGCATATCGGTGTCGGTGTCGGTGTGTGAGCCGTGGATAATAAAAGTATTGGGTTCGTGTGTCAAATCAATTGAACAAAGGATGAAAATTTAAAAAAGGAGTGTCGCATATCGTCACGTGCATATTCTATTTGCACTCCGATCATTTTAATCAAGGACCGAACCATATCTCATTGCTGTCATTCACTGACGCGCGTGAACTCATTCATTGGTAATGAAATTATCATTGCGCTCAATCTTTGATGTGTTTCCCACATTTTTCGGTGGGTTTACACAGAAGATTGACATTGAAATTGATTTTCAATCAAACGAATTCCCACGCCAGAGCTGGAGGATAATAGAATCAATTACGTCAATGGAGCAAGTGCGCCAACAAGCGTTCCACATTGATTAAATCAACTCATTCTCACTCTCTCTCGGGCTGAAATTTCGGCTCAACAAAACGAATGTCCTTTCACTCGACAGCCTTCAAATCACTAGCACCAATTCATTATATATTGAGTTCAAACCGTGTGCTTTTTTAAAGGAATGATAACATAATGCGCCAAACTGACACATTCAAACAAATGATTTTGTGTTTAAACAATGTGTACGCATCTTTCATTATGCGTACACCTTCCATCGAACGAACGAACGAACCAACATACTGAATGAAATGAAACGGGTGAGAAAAAAAACACTACAAACAACAACGGCGACAACTAGTCAATATCCTTTCACTTTCGTCATCCCGTATGGCGACGACGACAACAACAACAACACGGCGACACCGACGACAATGGTGAGATGTGACTGCGATGACTCGATATTCTACCAAACCATTCACAAATTCGACTAGAAAAACAAGCATTGTCATTTCAGTTGAGAATGACCGATACATGTATACAACACGGTGTTAGCACAATATACGATGATGTTTCAAGTTGGAAGTGAGCTCACACATTCTTTGTGTTCGAAAAAATAAAATGATTCAACATCGCAATACAGCAGCGACAAAAAAAAAATTCTGCTTTAATATTTTTCTGAGAAATTGCCAAACAAGAAAAATTGGGGTTTTTTTCGCAGTCGCCAACATGTTTTTCAATCCATTTTTTTTTTCATTCGCAAATCCATTTGGAAATTCATATCCGCAAATGTGTGCTAATTCCAATTTGCTAAACAATGACAAAAAAATACACACATTTCCATTGAAGAAAAAAAAAAGCAACAACCAGAAATTGTCAAGCCTCCAATTCATTATTAGATCCATTTTGATTCTGACGTTTTTCCGATGACAACGACGATGACCACCACTGATTAAAACACGCATTGCAGTGTGTTGTATTGGAGCTACGGAAATAAATTTCATCGTCCGTTTCGCCTTTGGCTCTATATTTGGAGTAATCGTCATTGTTTTAGTTAGCGTTCTAACCTCATTACCGTTTTGAGTGACACTCGTATTTGTGCTTGTGTGTGTGTGTGTGTGTGTATGAGTAAACGATATCCGATGCTATTTACGTATTTTCCTTTCGTTTTGTTTCTTTCGGTTGTTTTTTTTTCCTCGCCCCATGTACAATCTACTTCAACTCTCAATCCATTCATACGGTTCGGTCTGTGAACTTCGCTGACGTCTTATTCATGTAATTAAAAAAAAACTCGAGACCGTGTTTGTTGTGTACCGAAAGAAAATATATACACCCGCGTGCTGCATTAAAACGACTAAAAGTTTTGTGCGTAATCGTAGCATATTCATGAAAAGCCCTGTTTTTTTTTGCCGCACAAAATCACCACGGTTTCAGAATTGAGTGCGTTACTTTTCACATGGCGTCAACATAAAAAAAAACTATGATTGCCATAGATATTGATATGTTATCGAAGTCAACGATAATGGCTTTTAACCACAAAGTTTTCCTACTTTTGGAAGCAATCGTTTAGAAAAGCGAAAGCAATGATAATAAATGTTTATTTTCACACAGCAAAGTCGGTTACAGTGTGGTCGCCTCTGATATGACTTGCGTTAGCGGAAGAAATTTTCGAATGGAAATCGATTCTCACACGAAATTTGGATTTTCACTGTGGAACCGCATTCACATCATTTCATGTGCGTCGAAATAAATACGAGCTGAAATGAAATGAAGAAGAATGCGTTTAAACCAATTGTTTCGGATTTATTTTCAGATGAAAAACACACACAAAGCGCAAAGTGTTGTGAATGTAATAAAGTCATTTCGTTCGTGATCAAATTCAGTGCTCGTCGAAATGGTTCTCAGTTCAATGGATGTGGTGACAACGATGCAAAAGTGAACAAAAAAAAATTAACATGCTTTTTGTTTCGTTTCCATTCTGTGCCAGTGAAAAAATGCACTGAATTATTGGGGCATTCACTTCATTTGTTCAGTCAGTCAGTCAGTTGAAATGCACGAGGCGAAATTGTCCCCACACTCTCCAGCTCGCGTGCTCTCTTTCGCTCTTCTTGAAATTGAAGTGTAACGAATTAAGCTTGAGTTCGTTCATTGCGCTCAGTCTCTCTCTCTTTATCGGTTACAGCAACGAGCTCATTTGTTGCTGAGCGAGATGGAATAGTGGAAAATTAGAGGAGAAAAAAAACCAAATGTTTGAATGTATATTAGATGAAACTATGTATGAGCGATCCGATTGGCATTTCGTCATGCGTCCATATGGTGTGTCTGTGTCTGTCGCTGTGTGTAAGTTTGTGTGCGTTACTGTGCTGTGCTTACAATTTTCTGTTAATAAATGCGGTAATGGCAGTTTTCATGTGTATGCACGAATGTGATGGGTCGAATAATTTGCCCACATTGAGCTCTCTTTTCTATTGTATTAATAGATTTTTTGTGTACACATTGTGAATCGACAGCATGGGAACAATTTCAACGGTTTTTTCGCTCTCTCTCTCTCTCTCTCTCTCTCTCTCTCTTCTGTTCTTGTTTCTGCCGTTGTTACCGTTCCTCATTTGATTTGAAGCTTCTTCAGTGTTTTTGGTTTTGTTTTTGTTTTGAAATATATTTTTTTTCGTTTTCTCGCTGTCATTTTCATCGACAGCCATGTTCTATTTGCGTCGATTTTGCTAATGGTTTCAATTCGAACAGAAGAAGAAAACAAATGCCTATCTCTTTCTAACTCGTTCGTTTTGCATTTTTAGATACTAATTGAATTTGTTCGTGGTAATGTGTCAGAGAATTTATTTCGCGGACAGTAAACGAGTTGTGTGAGAATTTTTTTTTATTGCGGGTCACAAACGAACAAACATACAGTGCGGCGTTGACTGTGACCCCAAAAGTCATCCCGCAAAAAAAAAACAAGACCAACCAAAAAAACAGGAGTAACAATTTTGTGACACAAGTTTTAAAAATTTAACAAAATATCGTCTTACGAAGAAGACTACCGGGCAGATAGGCCCATGGTTCAACGGGCTTCATCTGAAACCCCATCTTTATCGGGGAATAACCGTGAATCATCTCGGATGAACCTCGGAATCGGTTATACAGCTTACCAAGGCGGTTATAACAAACTTTTCACACAGGTTTGTTCCCATCTCTCATCAATCATTCATCTTCCCCATCTTTCTAGCTTACATCACTGTAGAAAAAGTGTCGTACACACAGTGTGCACTTTCAAATCAGCCGGATAATGAACGAATCGATGTCGGTTTATATATTATTGTGGTATACCTTCCGTGATTCGTAAAAGTGATGCTTGTCAAGGGAGAAAAATTGCCATCAAATCCACCGAGATTAAAGCACAACGTTAAAGAAACAAAACCTACTGACACCATTGAATGGTGCATTCTGTTTCCAACGTTTACTAAATTGAATTTATTTTCCATTCAATAGGGTTCAGCGGACTCGAATTATTCGCAGCCTTCGTCCGATCTATCGCTAGATGAGGAAAAAGAATCGCTTCGACGAGAAAAGGAGCGGCAAGCGTTAAGCCAATTGGAGAAAGCACGAGTAAGTTAACACAACAAATCATAATTTCATCAAATGGAAAAATTGTTTCGTTAATAGTGTCGCAAAAGACGATTAAAAATGACATCGTGCATTGGCAAATTCGGTGAAAAAACGAAAATTATTATCGGCAAACACATCGTGGCAACTGCGATGTGTGTAATTTTAATACAATGCTTTCCGAGGCAGAGAAAGATTTCTGCAACGATGTTCCACATTAAGCAATAAGTGTGTACGGTATATTGAAATTCCGTGGTGGCTGTCATTGTCGCATTGTTCTGTCTGTTCAATGCCGTCGTAATGCGTCAAACTAAATAATTTTTATTAGAATAAATTATGTGTTAATGTATAATAATAATTTTTTGTACACGAGTACACACGGCACGTTCGTGTGTAATGCGGTGCGCATTTGTCGGATAAAGCGAACAGCCAACGGTAGCGCGGCAGTGGCAAAGGAAAGGATAAAACATATTCGCATTTATAATACGGATGCGATACAGAGCGCTTCAAAAACAATGCATGCATGAATGTGAATGTAATGTAATAATGTGTACGGTTTTCAACACTGTTCCTTCGACAACACAATGCGTAACTTCTTCTTTTTTTTCGTTCGCTCTCTCCATTTGTTTCAACATTATGGACGATATACCGCCGTGGCATTTCCAAAATACATACACACTCACATACGTACATTTTAATGTTTTCTTATTTTTCTTATTAAACGCCTCTGTTCTTCCTTTCGAAGAAGAAAGCTTTCCGCTGCGACCGCAATGAATTTATGCAGCGATCGCATTTTAAATGTGTATCCAATTCTATAGTTGGGTGTTCTGTGCGCCTCTGCAGGCAGGTCCTTTTTGCATGATAATGAGGCACGAGTGTATTATAACACATACATACATTGTCTCCATATCCATGGCCTCTCCATTTACGTTCGCAATGAGCATAATCTTTGGTATTTGAGACATTCGCTACTTACCGCTTTTCCATTTAAAAAATTATTATATTGCTTTTCCGGCTAATCCGGTGTACCTGTACATTTTGGCTTTGTGCGACATTTCCAAGTCTTCCGCTTGCTTCTTCTTCTTTGTGGCTGCTATGGGCTTATTGTATTTCTTGTAAATTTTTTCTTCTTCTATCCAACATTTTCAGAATAAACCTGTGGCATTTGCTGTTCGAACAAATGTGTCATATGATGGCAATATTGACGATGACTCACCCGTACATGGAAGTGCTGTATCATTTGATGTTAGGGACTTTCTTCACATTAAGGTAATTTCATATTTATTTCGAGCTGTTGTGTGTGTAACACAGCAACCATGACAAACAGTAGCAAATTTTGCATGGCCACTTGGGAATATCAGACTATTTACTAAATGTGTTGTTGTTTGTCTTCTTCTTCTTGGTGTGTTTGTTTGTTTGTATGCGCGCTTCGGGGCATTATTGTAGGAAAAGTATGACAATAACTGGTGGATCGGCAGACTGGTCAAAGAAGGCTGTGATGTTGGATTCATACCTAGTCCAGTTAAATTGGAACACATACGAATGCAGGTAAGCATTCTCGACTCTCTTTTATACGTATCAACAACGAAATTCCTTGATTCATAAAATGTTAATTGTTATTGTCACACAGGCATCGGCAGCAAGATCATCGAGACTGTACGCAACAAAAGGCTCATCTAGTGGTAATTTAGGTGGAAATGCAGAAGCGTCACGTGGTAGCACACCGCCAACACCTGGTAATATATAGGCGCGCACAAAACAATGCAATAAGCTGAAGAAAAAAAAACCCATAACACATCTTCTTACGTGATTATTTGTTTTGTAGGCGATGAGTCTGATTCAATGGGTCCATCACGACACGGTAAAACGCCGTTAGCAACGCCTCCAACCAAGGAGAAACGAAAGCCATTCTTTAAAAAACAGGAAACTTCGTCACCGTACGACGTGGTGCCGTCAATGCGACCAGGTATCTAACAACACTTGACCCACTTTACATTTATTCTTAGACAAACAATCGCATCGCTCCCACAATGAATATAATACACAAACATATTTTCCACGCATTTCTTTTACAGTTGTTCTAGTGGGTCCAAGTCTGAAAGGTTATGAAGTCACCGATATGATGCAAAAAGCTTTATTCGACTTTCTTAAGCATCGTTTCGAAGGCCGAATCATCATCACACGTGTTATGGCTGATATTTCATTGGCAAAACGTTCATTAATGAATAATCCATCAAAACGGGCAATCATGGAACGATCGAACAGCCGTTCATCGTGTTTAGCCGAAGTTCAAGCGGAAATTGAACGAATTTTTGAACTGGCACGAACACTACAATTGGTCGTATTAGATTGTGATACCATTAACCATCCGTCACAATTAGCAAAAACTTCACTAGCACCGACGATAGTCTATTTAAAAATTACTAGCACTAAGGTGAGTGTGCGTCGATTGTTTCGCCCATCGATTTGAGCTTTTTATTTTCGTTTTTTCCATTTTCATTTTGTAACGCATTTTGGCACCACTTAAATGGAATATTCTTCATTTTTTTTACAAAATTCAATCGAAATAATTCGATTTGATTTGATCCGCTTTCTTTGCAGGTATTACAACGTTTAATCAAATCGCGTGGTAAAGCCCAGGCGAAAAATTTGTCTGTACAAATGGTAGCTGCTGAAAAATTGAGTCAATGTCCGCCGGAAATGTTTGATGTGATATTAGATGAAAATCAGTTAGAGGATGCTTGTGAGCATATAGCTGAATATTTAGAGGTAAGCAAAAAATGGCCATTTCAATTATTGTCATTGTCATCTACACAGACCATTATGACAAAATGTTGTTGTTTTAGGCTTATTGGCGTGCGACACATCCACCCGAACGAACTCAAGCAGCAACAATATCCCGAAACTTACCATCGCAAGAGGTATCGCCAACTGGCGATGCCGACCGAATGGGACCACCAGGTATAAATTCCAAACACTGATTTGTCTCCCCTTTCACCAGTATCGACTTGTGTTCACTCTCTGAATCACATTGTCACACACACACACACACACACATACGCACAAAACAAGAAGTGCTCCAGCAACAAATGTTCACCTCTTCCCCTCTTACTTTTTGTGCGCCAACTTTTTAATTCTCACAACAACAAATACTTCAGTCTCATATTTCCTTTCAACACATTCTATCCCGCCCTTTGCTCAAAACTTTAATTTAATTGAATTTTACTTCGACATCAAATCAATCAAACTATTACATTGATCCCTTATTCTGTGTGTTCTTTCTACTTCTTTTTTTTATGTCATTCCCTTTTTACTCTTAACAAAAACACAAAATGCATACACTCAGAGCGAGAACAATACGGAAATCGTAATGATAGAGATAGAGACAGAGATAGAGAACGAGGTAAATTCATGCATAAATATTGTTATTGTGTCTTTTGTAGATGTACCAAAGAGGGTAACACAAATATGCCATGTAGATTATATTTTCAGTTGAAAATTGAATTGCTTTTGCCTTTTAGATTGTTGTTGAGTATAGTGAGAGAGCGGTAGTCGGTAAAAGATGTATACGTGGATGTTAAAATTGTTTCTTCTGTTTACGGTTGATTCCATCCGTGGAACAAAAGAAAACATCGATCGATAGTTTTTAAAATACTACAATTCGTTCTTTACGACAAAAATTATTGAATTACGATACGTCTCAAAACTATCTATCTTTGAATCAAATTAATTAATTCGAATTTCTCATTTTTTCAGCAGAATTTAGTCTGGAAGACATAAATCGTGTGTTTTATTAGATCGCAGTTGTACACGGTTCACATTATAGAAAAAATACATAAACACAAAAAATATATCAGACAAAAAGATAAATCCAATATCCAACACATGTCAGTTAATTTTCCTCTTTTTTCTAAACAAAATGCTTGTTCATTTAACTTCGAAGCAAAACTAACACACTGTTTTAAACACAGTAACACATTCTTATCACTTTCAAAGCCAATTTTCAGTTCCAATGCAAATCTAACATTCTTTTGATTCTTATGTACAGTACGTTCTTCTTCGATTCGATCATTCCGAATGTAAATTCAACTAAAACTGGCGAACAACTAAAATTCTAACCAAGTTTTCGTTCCTAGTTGTCATTTGCTTAACAAATCAATAATCGCAATGAACTCACTTCACACCGTTCAGCTTCAAATTTATTCTGTGGCTTAAAAAAATGACCGATTTGTGTGAACTTTGAGCGAATTCTAACATCCTCTTTTTCAATAATGTTTTTCGTTTTATAAAACAGTGTCTCCGGGTGTTGTGCGTGGTACGGGCGCGCTAGCGGTTCAAATGTCCTTATCGCTCATAACTTAACCAAAAAAGTGTTCTTTTTTTCTGTAAAATTCTTGATGTCTAAGTCGATCTCTGCACACAATAAACTGTAAATACACTGATTCGCAATGAAATCATCGATTTGTCGAAAATCATTTTGCAAATGTAAAGAAAGAATAAATGAAAAATAAGTATTTGTGGAACTGTATGCTTCATTGAATTGCTTCGGTGTAAGTAAAATGCATTCGGGCCTCGAAAGTAAAATAACAAGCTGACGGACCTTGAAGGTCAATTTCTTGGAAGAAGAAAAAAATAGCTAACACTTTGAATTGTGTACAATACTAACCACGGTTGACTTAGTCGATAGTTTAATTAAAACTGGAGTGCTTTAGTAGGAAATCGAATGAAATTAGTCATTTGAGAATGACTTTTTTCTTCGCTGTGTCAAGGCAAAGCAATTTTTGTTTGTTTGGTGTTTCTTTGGTTTTATTTTGATTTTGCATGCCATTCAACACATTCTATTTTTGCAACAACAAAAAACAAACTAATGAATACTCTGTTCCAATCCACAGGCCCATCGTATCATCACAATCGGCGTGCAATCCAGGAACGAGAACGGGTTGAACGGGATCGTGAAAGGATCCATGCACGTGAACGCGAACTGGCCGCTCAATATGACCTGCACGACGACGAAATCCTTAGCAATCGCGGCCATTTGAACACAATGCCAGCGACCACACACATTCGACACACAAATGAGGATCGAGAATTGTCGCGTGATGATCGATATCCATTAACGGCACAATCATCGCATTTAGCATCGGCAAACCGGCGAGATCGAACCGCCGACGATTACAGTCCGCACCGTGGCGGTGGGAGCAACAGAAGAGTGCTGAACGCCATGTAGGAGTCGTGGATTTAGGAGTGGCCACAAGTCGACGACGATTTTGATGATTGAAGATGTTTTCGCTGGTTTTTTTTTCCTTTTTCTTTTGCATTTATTCACAGTTTCAGTGTTCTGAGTACGAATCTTCTGTTTAACCTCATCCAAAAACGTTTGGATGGTTTTACTCTCTTTTGTTGATTCAAGTTTTTCCCTGTGATTTTATAGTTACTGTGACTGTTTGAAAGAAGTGGTTTTAAAATGCCAAAATGTTAACAACTTAGCTGAAACGAAACGCACGACGTAACACCATTTCCACCACCAAGACCAATAGAATAATCCGTAGTCCATATACTTTTCGAAAGTTAATGAAAAAACAAAAACTAAACAAAAGAAGAAAATCCATGTGCCAAAAAAAACTTATTTTCCAGTTTTTAGAGACTGAAATCAGAGTAGAGATTTCGCCATTTCACCCGTCGAAACTTCTCGTTTTGCAAAAGAATCCAACTCAAGTGTAAATAGAATTTATTTTGGCAAAGTTTGGCATCAAAAACTTTGCGTTTGATCAGCTCTTGTGTACAATATATTCTAAATGTTTGCACACAACAAAAATGTAGCGAATGTTCGAGTGCATGATTCCGAGTGTGTTATTTGAGAGCCAAAGTTTGGTAGAATATGTTCAGAGACGTTTAACTGCATTTTTACTTTGATTTACTACGAAAAGTGTGGTGCAAACATTAGATATGGCGAAATGAATGAACTCGAGCTTGAAGAATAATTCCGACAAGAGCATTGAATTCATACAGCATCCATGCGTCGTGCGGAACAGTTACAGCTTACTTCCATTTAAAATGGATCCAAAATGAGTTCGTATCGGTTATTATTGGCATCAAATTGACTAATGCATTAGTGATGACCGCCCATGCTTATTTAAAATACTTTTTAGTGAACTGCATATGCGTAGAACTGACCAATTTTAATCTAGTTTTCCTTATGTCATAGTTTCCGTTTTTATTTTCATTTTGATCGAAAAGGAAAAAAAAACTATCTTCAAAAATCAAAATCCAATGAAACATCAACAAATTCCGTAATTGCTGACCGAATCAATTGGTTGGCGAAGGAAGAATCAACAATTAAACACACACAACATTCATTAGGCATTTAGACACTAGCAGATTGTATATTTGATTGGTAATTTGTCGTTAGTTTGTGACATGACTAAGAAAATCGTTGATATTCTAAAAAAAAGAAAGTTTTTTCAGTTGTGGTCAATCAATGTGGCCTGCCTATGTTCGTGATGAATTTCGGTTGGTTTCTGTGCATTTTGTCTATTGAATTTGATATTGGGAAAATATTCGATGTGTGTTTAATTTGATTTGTCGTCTTGTTCCACTCCTAAGTACTTTGTATGTCGTATCTCACCGCCATCGAATGTCAACTGTGTGGTGAACGGGCGCAATGGTCGAGTGCAACCCACAGAACTTGGGCATTATTCCACGCTGCGCCAAAAGCATGACATACAATTATTCAATGACATTAAATTAAGCAAAAAAATTCATTATCTTCGTTTGGATATTTGAGTTTTTCGTCGAATTTATTGTCATTAGTTTTAATAAATTTGGTTTTTTTTCCAAAACAAACAACCAACAAAATAGATGAATTCTATTGCGAATGAATGTAAAATTGTTACCGAAGTTTTACGCAGAGAATCCAAGACATTCATGCAAAACTTAGCAAAACCCTTTGATGGAGTCTAATTTGAAAGTAAATGAGATCTAGTTAAAAAAAAAAGAGAAGTGAAAATTTAAACAAATAAAATCGTTGAACTACAAGAAAAGAATGAAAAGTTGAGAAAAAAGCTTTATACCGATAAGTAATCGATTTCAGTAATTTATCATTAGAAAAAAAAAATACATTTTGAACAAAAAGAAACTCACACACATTGAAAAGATGAAGAAAAAAAAACAAATACAATTTTTCTGCGGCGAATAAATAATCTAGTTGTAAACGATCTACACAAAAAAAAAATATTACGGTTATTTCGATGATGAGATTAAAAATATGTCGGTCACTGTTTTTTTGTATACATTTTCTCTTATAAATAATACAATCATATTCATAAAGATTTGTTTAAGTCAAACACACACATTTGAACCAGAAATACACAGAGTATTTGCCCGGAATCTAGAGATTGTTGGCTTATGCGTGCGCAAAAGGTTAAATAGAACAAAAAATATTTAAGAAAAAATGGAAGAAAAATAAGATGAACTAACCAAATTTGTAAATATTATTGTATTAGATTTAATGAAACAAACAAGTAAATCATAATCTTATTGAGCTTTCGATTTATAGCAAAACAGAATGCAAATGCAATAGACGAATTTCAAATCCTTCGATTGAATAAACAGAAAATAAGAAACAAACAAAGAAGAAGTAAAACAATCGCCACCGCAAGCTTGGTGAATATCCCCTTCGAATGCACTCATTTCATGTCTATAACTATGCGCGCGCGCACAAAATGCATAGAAGCGACACGCGTTCCACGGTCGGTGTTGTTGTGTTGTTTTCTTTTTCTAACTATCTCTCTATCGACCGAGAAGAGCGTGACGAAAAACTCGATTTTTAATCCAACACAAATACTATTTGCAGTTTTTAGCCATGGACCACGAAATGCTCTTAAATTGTCCAACTGTCGTCTTTTTGTGTTCAAAACTCTTTCGATACATTTTCCAACATACGAACAAGTAACCAGGGAAACAACACTCTAATGTCTCCTCTTGCTTTTGCTCTCTGTCTGTCTCTGAATCAGAGACTCTGATGACCCAGAAATTTAAACAAGTATCATCTGGGATGATTCATCCTCTTGAAATTTTTGGGCAAACAATCGGGCGAACCATTTGAACAGACTTTGTTCATTTTGTCCAAAATCACACAATCCCAACTAACCCATTACTTACCAAGCATTTGATTTCTTGTACACAAGGTTCGATTTTTTAAAAACTTGTTAATCAATGGGTTAAGAGCAAAAAGACGAGAGAGGGTATCATTATTTTGTTGTATTTGGAACTTAATTTGAGATTCAATTGGTTATATCACAAACGAAAGAGCCGCAATGAACACATGAACGGGATAAAGAGAAAGAACAAGTAAAAAAACTAAATACTTACTTAAAATAAAAAAAGCTACCAATTGCCTTGCACTGAATTATTTTAATTGTAAAGTATCGATTTTTTTCTATATTCAAAATGCATTGAAGATGAGATGAAACGATAAAAGAAGTTAGCTAAACAAAAATGGGAGAAGGAAAAAATAGAAACACACACAAATAAATGCTGGGACAACCCAAAAGGAGATAGAATTTAGCCAACAATTTGTATTTAAAAAAAATAACATTTAAAAAACAAACCTTATAGATAAACCTTTTTCGTGCGATAAAATTTAATGAAAAAACCAAAATATTGTTCTAGTCGAATGAAGAAATGAGAGGAAACAAATGTACGGAATCAAAGCAAAACAATCTTTTAAACATAGAATTTCCAATAATTTTCATTGTCGTTTTTGCTACGTGCTCACAACATCATCATCATCATCATCGTAATCACCTGACTACTGCTGTACAGGCTGAATATTCATTCCAAGTTCGTTTTATTTTTCGTTTCACCCGGAATTCCCAAACGCTTTTTTCTCTCAAAATCAACGATACTCTCTAGAACAGAACGTATCGTTTTGGACTATATAACGACAAAGAAATGCCCTAATTTGTAATTTTTCCATTGCTTTTAATGCTTCGAAACAACAGAAAATATTCAAAAAAAATATGAAACAAAATGAATCGTTGACAATTTCCTTTTGAACATGAATTTAAAGATTTAAACTAGCAAATATCGAGAGATCACACGCCCATTTCAGCTGAAATTGTTTTTTAGACTACAGTTTTGTTGAAAATGTGTGCAAAGTTTTTTTTTCGAAGATGAATTAAAAAAAAAGTAAATAAAAACATTTCTATTGATATTAGAAGAAGAAGAAAAAACTACAAAAAATTAAAGAAAAAAAGTAAATCTAAAAATTGAAACGATATCTAGATAGCCTACAAATGAAAAATTTATTCATTTTTTTCAAAAAAGAAATAAAAAAAAAAGAAGAAAAAAAATGAAAAATACTGTAAGAAAGGAAAAGCAGCCGAATAATTGAACAAAAATGCCATATTTCTGGGCAACAGATATAGAAGTGGTGTTGTTGGTTTTTTTTCCCTTTATGACGACGATTTCGATCAAGTGTAATGATAAATCTTCTGTATTCTGATGCTTTACAACCACATTTTGTAAATAAATGTATAGCGAATGAAATTTCGGATTCTAATCTCAATTCTCAACAAAATTGAATAAATATATCTAAGGAGGCTTTAGCTTCTAGTACTTTGAATCGTAACGAGACACACACAAACACAACCATCTCAAAATGCTGAGAGCGAGTGGCGCGCCGAGATTTCTCTCTCTAACTCTTGCACATACTCATTACTCACACCGAAACCAGATAAATGGTCAGATTAAAATAAATGACATTGTATTGCTTACACATCGAAGAACCCATAGCTCATACATAAAATCAGATCTCTCCGGAACCAACAAAATGAACCAAATATCTATAGAGAACATCTTTTTAAAAAAGAAAACAAAATGCACTTTTTATAGCTGTCGTTTCAGTTGACATCGTTTAGTTTACAATGCGTTTATTATTATCATGATGAAAAGAAAGAATAAATAAGCAAAATATATGAGGTTGTTGTGTGTTAGTACCTCTAATCGTGTTTTGTGTCAATCCGTTTCCTTTGTTGTCATTATTTAATGTAAAACGAACCATTTTAAATTAAGATGCTAGAACAAAACCGTCAACAAAATCGGTGAAGATGCGACGGATTACTTCAAACCATCATTTTATTTCTCTTTTTCTCTTAAGTCTTGTTTCTTTCGGTTAGTTTTGCGCTCTTGTTTTGAATGAAAAAAAAATTCTTCCACGAAAAAAAGAACATTTCTCATCACCATCACCATATTGCTAGCAATAGCGCAGTGGTGATGTAATAAAATGTGTTTTTTTTATTTGAACTTATCCTCGCTAACAAATAGATTTAAAGAAGAAATCTTCCATCGTGTATCCACCAGAAAGAAAGGATATAATATGTTATGAGCTCAGCAGCAGTAATAGAAAACAGAATGACATGTTTTTTTTTAATTTAAATAATTAACCAGCACACGATTTTCCATAAACCGCCCTTGAAAATGCTCACAATTTATTGAAACGATTTAAATGAAACCAATGTTATGTAATTAAACCAAAATAATAAAATAGATTCAAAGTCGCACATCCAAACCAAAAAAAAAAATAAACGAAAATCGCAAGAGTAAAATACAACCAAAAAAATGGAGAAGATTAATTTAAACGTAAAGAAAATCGCCTTTACTCTATTGTCTTAAAAACCAAAAAATTAATGAAGCAAAAAAAAGAAAATAAAGAAAACAAGTGGATAAAATGAAGCAAATACAAATAAACAATTTTTTATTAGCTAATATAAATTTCTTATTAACAATATGTATGCAAATTTCTGCAAAACTAAATACTAACAAGAAACACAAACACACACACTTTGAATCCGAGACACTCACTGTCCGCGAGTGTTTTCACAATGAAAGACGAAATGAGAGGTCTTTGTTTTCCATTTTAAGTCCTTCGGCGTACCGATTTAATGAATGAAACAAATTATTGAACTACAATTTACAATTACTCAGAATGCTATCGTTAAATTTTATTTAACAGACGATTGAATCTATTGTAAAATTTGAAACAAAACAACAAGAAAAAGAACAAATAAAACAATGACTTGTAACATTATTATTGAATATGATGAACTCATACGAATGAAACCAAACCAAAAATAGAAATAAAAACTAAAATGAAAAAAAAAAAATGATAAAAAAATTAAAATCACACGTTTTGTTTTTCTGTTCTGAAAATAAACATTTCTTCTTAAACCAGTTTCAGATTAAGAAGACCAGTATCAGAATTGATAATAATGGAACTTTTCCTGTTTAAGTAATTTGGCGATTTCAGTTCCAGTTCTCGTACAACACGAACATCTGTCTGCTTTGAAATGGACATTTCTCTTTCCAAACGAATGTTGACATTGAAATATACAACAGACACGGGAGGCGGAGAGAGCTGTTCGGGTTCTATATCTGGTCTGGGATTCAAAAATTCAAACCCTCGTTTGGCCACTTTCAAAAGTGATGACTTTTTTTTTATTCACATTTCAAATTCATTTCAGGCATTTGGACAAATATTGTCCATCTGGCAAGAAAAAAGTCTGTCAAGGTCACTCTTAATTAAGAGTCAATTAACTTACATTGAAATGTGGACTCTGAACCTAAATCAAAAGAACGTCACAAAGAAAACGCCACACTGATTCGTTCTAAATCTTTAATTTAACAATTAGGTTTTTATTTCGATTATTAAATTAGCGCTAAGTCAGTGATCATTTATAATGAATGATAATCAATCACACTTATAGTTGTACAGTATGTTTAAAAGCCGTGCATGGTTAAGGTGGTATGGTAACTAAAAAGAATCTTTGATGTGTACTCCTGATGCGATAATTTAAAGGTATTTCATTTGTTTTCTAAATAAATATCTGAGATAAACTGGCATTCCAAATCTAATATAGTCAGACAATGGCTAACAGAGCGAGAGAATATGTAAAGTGACTTACTAAAAAAGGATTGCAAATAATTTCCAAACTTTATACAATTGATTACGCAAAAAATTACAATGAATATTTCTATTTAAATAGTAGTACAAAAAATGCTGTCCATATTCTAATAATTTCTCGTCTTTTTTTGTCACATTCAATACGCAACCGTAACGCCAACAACATCTTTAACATCACAATCAACAATATAATTTAGAATCAGGTCCATCCAGTGGAATATTCTATCAATAATATCGTTTGTATTGGACCGTCGCATCAAATTCAATGATTCGATTGAACACTATCCATGATAAACATGGCAAAGAGTCAGGTAAACATACACCTTGGAAGGCAAGGTGAAATTGTGTCTAGATGATGCTTAATTTTGTGTGTCTATATTGTCATGAATACATTATGATGCCTTTGGTGGCGGCGATGGTGATGGTGGTTTGGTTGTGTTTGGATGATTGGAATCAGTTTTCTCATTATTTGTATATTTATCGGAACCAGTGCTAAAAATACTCCAGAATACGCTATAAATTCATCTTTTGCTTTGCTGCCGTGCTCATTTCGTCCATACTCTTTCGTGCTGATTCAGTCATATCGTCAAACGATTTATGCGTCTGATGGATAATATCGTCCGTACTTTTGCTTACAGCGTCCGCAATTCCTTTCATCTATTTCACGCAAGAGAAGAAAAAAACGGAATAGTAATTAGATTAATGAGTTATAAACAAAGCAAAAAGAAAATTACAAACAAAAAATTTGTTTGTTGTTATGTGCGATAAGCAATGGAATTCAGTCTTACCTCAGAATTTATTTTGGAGATAACCCATTCTAATCCTTGACGACCTTTGTTTGCATTAGCGCTAATATTTGATGTGATCATGTTTTCCATGTAATAACTAAGTGGAACACCGTGCACAGTGACTGTGGCCTCTTGTCTGAGGAGTGTCTTCTGTGGATCGGTTGGGTGCGGTGTGTAGTGCAATACCTCGTCAACCGATATGTGTCGGCCGAAAGTGAGGTTTATTGTTTTTAATGACATTTTCTTGTTGTGTGGATCCACTTCGGATTTCTCACTGGCATAACACACTTTTTCCGTTCCGATTATCTGCAAGTGCAAACAAAAATACGATGTGATTAATGAAAAGCAGAAAATTTTCCATGGGATGAACATTTCTGAGCGAAGTATCAATTTGCATGACTCACAATGCCGATTAGCAAGTCAAGAAAAAAATATTATGACAAATATTTCCATTTGGTTTCTGCCGACGGAACGAAATGTCATCGCGTCGATAGTTTTGGCATCGTTCCAACGAGAAAAAAAATGTGATTCGAATGTACGTGTTTGATTCGAACGACCTTGTTCACCGTTGCCATTGCACGCGCCGTTGCCATTGCCTTTAACTGCATCGGTAGCATTTAGTAGGCAAACAGAAAAAAAGGTAGATAAATTGGGACAAGGAAGAAAAAAAAGAAGAAACGTGCTGTCTCATTGCAAAAAATGCGGCATGAATGAACTTTTATATGCCCTAATGTTGGCATACGGTTTGCAAACAAGCTGCCGTTGAATACCCGTTCTTTTTGTTGCTTATGGTATGATAACGTAAACACGCTTATCATGTGAATGTGACGTGATCAAACGTGTCAAACGGAATTCATAATCGTCACTTCTCTATTGCTAACCGGGTGCGATGCGCCACACTGCCGTCAACTCTGAATCGTTGACACTTTGGCATACAAATTTGCATTACCATTGGTGCAACGTGCGCTTAATTATAGCATCGAATAATCGTGTATGTTGATACAAAAATAGGTGAAGATAGGTTAACTTACCGATTGTGTCCATCGTGGAAAATACCATGTTGATCCAACCAAACGATGTGTGTGCAAAATGCCATTAACTATTTTACGGTCAACCACATCCGTGCCAATAACAGCTGGATTCATTGGGTTTGGATATTTTCGCCATGCAGCCTGCGCCACCGTCTCCCATGGATGGCTGCAATTTTTTTTTTTTGGATTGAATAGAACAATTAAAACACGTTATCATCATTATCGTCACTGTTGATAAGTAAATCCATCACTTGGGATTTAAAATGTGATGGGCATATGTTGCGGGAATTTTCTTCATTCAACTTCGCTTCATTCAACGCTTTACTTAAATGCCAATTTACGTCATTTACTCTTTAAAGAGGAAATATTTATGAGTCGATTTTCAAATCAAACCAATGAAGCCACACAATTTCCAACAAATCAACTTTTTGTTCTTCCAAATATTCGTTTTAAATAGTCTATGCATGTTTCAATCTGTCTTTATTTTTATGTTGACCTTTGTATTTTCTTCGAAACATATCCGGACACAATATGATTTGAAAAAGCAAACAGAGATTGCGTCACAATACCCACCAACTTCAATAGTCGAACTTTTTGAATATTTTACCAATGACTTGTGTAAAAATAGACGTCTAAAATTGGTAGCATTTCCATAAATATGGAAGAAAATTGGTGGGCACCTATCAATCGAATCGGAATGGTTTGGATTCGTTTCTACGGCTCTTTTTATACCATTGAATGTGTATATAAGTAACGAAAAAGTTTTTTTTTCTGCTCACAGTAAAAAGCAAAACAAAGAAACACTTGAACTTGAACATTGTTGCAAAATATGAATTACAAACGCATTCCGAATTCCAGTGAATTCTCGTTTCACTCATATTGCTTTGGCTCAGTGCACCTCAGTCGAATGGACTTTGACTCCATTCGACTGTTGTCTGTTGTCATTACGTCATTTTTTAAATAATCTAAACAATTTGATAGCGTTTGATGTCACTTGCACATGCCACTCATACGATAATCCGGATTATTCCATTGGTCATCGTTTTGAAATTACTCAATCGGTGTTGCTCAAGCATTTCTCAGCTGATCAAACAGCGCAATTGAGCAATAGATAAAAATCAATTTGCGTATACAGATGAGCTATTCATCGTTTACGATACAAGGTGCGATAGAATGAGACGAACGTCACTGTTTTATGTAATCGATACCATACGAACACTATGCGCGCCTAGCAACTCGAGTGAAAAAAATTCCCACTGCAAAAAGTTTCACATACACACGATTACTTACTTAAATGTATGTTCTGATGTCCAAATTTTCATTTTGTATTTTGAGTTTTTTCTGTTATTCTCACTTGAAATTCAGATGTAATAAATATTCGAGGCGTCGATCACAGTGGGTTGAAGCAAAAAAATACCAGTTTTTATGCACTCAACACACAAAGCCACAAAGTTTATTGATGCCTTGCAAAAAATATTTATTCACTTTGACATAGAAAATGAATAGCGAACAGTTCGTGGTTAAACGATAGAGGAGCGACTTGGTATTGCGCGACCGTTCATTACGAAATATCTAGATTGAATAGACATGAAAATGAATGAAATGCTATGTCAAAGCCATGTGAAAAATGAATAGTCGAAAGTGTTGCCAACTGTTGAGTTTGCAATAGACACTGAACTGTGGAGTATGTTCGATTTGTGGATTTCAGCTTTTCTTGCCTAACACTCTTTTGTTATTTTTTTCTACATATATTTAATTTTATTGTTTTTTAATTTTGTTTTTTTTTTTTAAATTTGAAATGAATGAAAAAAATACAATTTTCAAAGAAAAGAAAACAAACTCAAAGTCTTGTTATTTTAATTCAACACATTCATTCTATCTTACCAGTCGATTTTGTAATCGAATGCTGAACGCTGTCGAATTACATGTTATAGACATGTCAAACTGTGTGCCGACATTGGCATTAAATTGTAAATGAACATCGATGTCAAACGTTTATTGAGGTTCATAGTCGAGTAAAATATCAAAAATAGGTAAATAAACGAATTTGTTATTTATTTCAGCTAATTTCAACTGTGAAACCTTTAAAATATTTCCCATGATAATAATTGATTGCTTAATTTCCAGTGTAATTTATCCGGCTAAAGCGAGTGACGTCTGGTAAACATGGATTTCCAGAATCGTGCTGGTGGCAAAACAGGCGGCGGAGGTGTTGCATCATGGTCCGAGACAAATCGAGATCGTCGAGAGCGTTTGCGCCAATTGGCACTTGAAACCATTGATCTCAACAAGGATCCGTATTTTATGAAAAACCATTTGGGCTCATACGAATGTAAATTGTGTTTGACACTGCACAACAATGAAGGAAGCTACTTGGCTCACACACAGGGCAAAAAGCATCAAGCCAATTTGGCGCGACGTGCCGCTAAAGAAGCAAAAGAAGCACCGTCGATGCTGCAACCAGAGAAACCACGCGTTGAACCGAAAAAATTTGTGAAAATTGGTCGACCCGGTTATCGTGTTACCAAGCAACGTTCTCCAGAAAATGGTCAACAAAGTTTACTGTTCCAAATTGATTACCCGGAAATTTCGGAAAATATTGTACCGCGTCATCGATTCATGTCCGCCTATGAACAGAAAATCGAACCACCCGATCGTAAATGGCAATATCTTTTGTTTGCCGCTGAACCATACGAAACGATTGCATTCAAAGTGCCGAGTCGTGAAGTGGAGAAAACGGAAGGCAAATTCTGGACGCATTACAACAAAGACACAAAGCAATTTTTCCTGCAGTTTGCATTCCGATTGGAAACACAGAAGATGATGCCACCGCCACCACCTCGTTTGAATCCAAATATGCACGGTTTAGGCGGACCAAGACCAATTGGAATGCCAGCATTTGGCGCTGTTCCACCACCACCTCCTCTACTCAATTAAGACTTTCGATTATTTTTCAAAACGCATTTTTATTCGACGTAATTTGAGAATAATGGATTTTTTTTTCAATGCGAATGCCAACAATTTGAGCCACTGAAATTTAAAACTGGAAAGTAAATAAATAGTCGAGGAATATTCAAAGAAAATTCGTTTTATTTCAAACATAATATTGTCCAGCAGTGTGAAAGCATCGTTGTTTCCACAAACGGCACATTCAAATTAGTCCAAGCAATCGGAACTTATCCAAGACAATTTCTTTTTAAAATACAACATATATCGCCTCCAAAGCAAGACCCACTACCGTATTCTGTATAACATTCATCACACGATGGCATACATAAGGTATGAGGAGTATGTGGACATGGACTGCCTAGGATTCCACTTGCAAAAACTGCAATCCAAATTAAATGGGATTATTATTTAACAGACCAACAAGTACTGAAAATGAATGAAGTTTAACATACCATTAGCTACAGGCATCGTAGCAACCAATAAAAAGATGATGTTGAATTTTAAATACATTTTTGATACTATTACTTCTTCTAGAAAAGCAGAGTCGTTCGATCTAATGAATACGCAATTATTGACTGGCTACACGTCAAAACGAATCGAGTGCATTTATGATGAGTCTTATCAGTATCCGAATATGATTTTCTTACAGATTATTTTCATACGATTGTTTACGGAGACTCTGATTCAAATTATGTCATTTTATTTTCAAGCACATTCACAACACTTTTTACTATGGAGGCAAATACCTTGAGGTCTATGGCGACAAGCCACCACACGATTTCTGACATCTGCCACCAAGTGATTACAATCAAAATTAAAGTCTGTCAAAACTGTAATTCAAATGGAACAAGAACATTAAACGTGGCAACAATGGTTGGAAATTGAATAACAAAAATTAATAACATTTTACTTTTAATCTTTTTCCTTCATTCCATGTTGATTTAACCTACCACTGATAATAAGTGTCGCAGTAACCAAGAAAAAGATGATGTTTAGTTTTAAATTCATATTTTGATACAAATTTATCGCTTCTTTTAAAAAGGTAGAATTTATTGATTTACTGAATTCAATTCTGACGACTGATTACTCTTTAAAACGAATCGATGGCATTTATAGTCAATCTTATTATTATAGAGATTCCAAGTATAATGCGTTTGCATAGAAAAACCCAGCTTATCAATTAATAAACATGCTTCGATTACGTTCAATTTTGTTTCATCAAGAAAATTAATAGAAAAAAAACAACACCTTACCCACAACACAAAATGAAGTCAAAGTTTTTGCACTTTTCTCTTATCACTTTGATTAGAAATGAATGACAACAGATCGGTTTTGTTCTTATGTTATGCGTGTTTCACTTTTTATTCCAAATTACAAACAAAATGCCCTAACGTTATAAACATAAATATTCTTTTTGATAGAGCTAAAAATGCATGAAAACTGGTATTTCAGCAAAATAGAAAAAGTATTCCTAAGAAACGAGTTCGATTACTACGGGTTTGATGTTGTTAACTTGGTCTGTATTGTCTTTACACCTGCCACAGCAATTTTTGCCAAAGTTTTGGCCGTCGCATCCTTCTTCGGGCTTGTGGTTTGGTGTCCAATAGCCCAAGCTCTTTGATGCGTAAAAGTCCATTGGATATGCTTCGTTTTCGGTGACTTTAGTCTCCGATGTGATTTGCCATTTGGCGTCACCCAACGCCACAGATAATTCGTATGGTGTCAGCACTGGTTTGGAAAAAGCGGTGCCCCAGTCAATTGAGAGACGTGGACAAGCGACCTGAACGAATGCATCGATATCTTTGAATAGTTCCAATTTGGCCGGGAATATTTCAGAGAGCAAAATCAATGATGATTTTTTATTGTGATGGGCTATTCGTTCCTCGATGTATTTCATGACCTTTGTCGATCCCTGTCGACCGAGTGTGCCTAGTATCAGCCCGAATTTCTTTGCGTGTGTAGCCCGATCGATGGCTTGTTTTCGGTTCTTTCGCATTTCCAGGTGGTCATAGTGTTCTTCTGTGAATTTTTTCTCATAAGGGTCATATTTGTATGCTTCTAATGTTGGATTGGCAATCATCGCTGATTCTAAATGGAATCGACCGTCGCCCAAGTAGATAAGCGTTATGTCTTTTGGCAATCGAGGCGATGTGCAACCCAAAATTTCTCCAGGGCTTAGTGGTTTTGACTGTGGCACTTGAACATCGTAACCAGCTTCACGAAGCTCTTTAGCTGCAGCGTGCATTGTGGCTACGAATTGAATTGTACTGACGAATGCGAGGCGTTTCGACGATGGAAAGTTCAATTTGACACTTTCGATAAAGTGCATCGTGTCAATTTTGATGTCAACGAAAACGTACAACACTTTCATCTCGGTCGTTTGGTCAATTGGAATCAGGCAACTGTGACCGTAGTGTACGAGCAAATCAGCACCCAAAGCCTTTGCTGTAAAATCGTCAATACAACAAGCACCGTATGTCACCTAGAAATGAAAAAAAAAACATGTTGAATACATAATGAACAGCGTAGACAAGGGTTTGTAACTTACGTCACCCATAATAACTGTATCTGCTTCGGTAAATCGTTCTATAATGTCACTGATGACCATCGAAAACAGCAACAAACCTAAAACCATTGACAAAATCCAACAATTAGAACATTCAATTCACACTTTTTACTCATCTTTCTTTTGAAAAAAAAGTCCCCTCATGTACCTTCTGGCAATTGCAATGCCACTCGTTTCGCCTTTAGCTCTCTCACTCTCCATATCGTTTTGTGAATTTCAAAGTTGTAATTCTTTGGCAGCGCTTCAATCGCTTCGTTAATCTGTGGATCCTCTAAAATCGATTGTGGAATTTTGTTTATCGTTCGAGACCTTCCCGTGCCTTTGTACACACGACGTACTGGTTTTGCTTTCACTATAACAACGTCCGTTTTTTCAGTGGAATTCACATTCTCATCCATAGCTCAACCGTTTTACAATTCACTTGTCTGTTACAATTTCATATAAAAAACAATTCGATTGATTTTCATCAATTTTTTCTAGCAAACTTTCACAAATAGAAACAACTGTCGCTCGCGTTTTTCTCGTTACGTTTCTCCAAATTGGCGAGCACACAATAGAATGTAAACCATGCAAGATCATTTAAAGCATGACAGGTCACGTACACCACTGTTTAACTAATGCGAATCTCCGTTATCGACACATCAACGCACACACATACAATGGTCGCATTGGAACGTCAAGTGTTGACGTTTGAATTGTCAAAACAAAATCGTTTGGAAGCAGCTGCTCCAACACGAATCTCGTAGTGAATTGCGGAATCTTAGCCGGGAAAATATAAACAAAATGTTTACGAATAAAAAAAAGAAGTAAAGTTTTATCTTTACAAAAAAAACTAAGCTAGCGTTGATTTCAACGGTCCCTTTGTGATGTCGATAAATTCAAAACTCCGAAAATTACGTAACTGAATGATGACATTGATCGAATTTGATAAGAAACCGATAAAAGTTATCGAATTTTTGAAACATTTGACGAATTAAGAACATTTTTCGCGATAAATTCAAGTAATGTTTCACGACGCAGCTCCTCGAAAAATAAATTGTTAGTCATTATTTGCAAGTCAAAGATTGTGCATTCAAGTCTAAATGCTTTGATTTTCTGGTTCTTCCTAATTGAACCGATTGTTATTTCGAAAATTACTTCTGAATTTCGAAACTAAGAAAGAAATGGAGTCTAAAACAGTGATATATCTAATAGCATTAGTATTTGGTGCAGTTTTTTTATTCAATGAGTTTTTTGTCTACTTCTTAGTATTGAACCAGGTGAGATAGTGCTCGATATCTTATTTAAATTCTGGACAATTCGAAACACTAAACCGTTTTTTTTCTGCATTAGTGTCAATGGCCATCGAAATTTAACGATTCCGTCCGAGCGATGCTGCTGGCTGACACTCATTTGCTGGGACCATTCAGGGGACATTGGTTCGATAAGTTGCGTCGTGAGTGGCAAATGCGACGGGCATTTCATGCTACAATTTGGTTGCATCAACCAAATGTGGTCTTCATTTTGGGTAAGAAAAAAAAAATGAAACAAACGTCTTCGAAAAAAAAATGTATGACATATGAAAATCCATGTACATTGTATAAACAGGTGATGTGTTTGATGAAGGCCAATATGTTGATGGTGAACGTTTCGAGGCGTATTTGATGCGATTTCATGACATCTTTTACACACCGTCGAACATGAAAGTCTACAGTGCTGTTGGAAATCATGATGTTGGATTTCATTACAGGTTTATTTCGTTTACTATGAATTTTGAAACCAGATTTCTTTTATATTTAAAACTTTATCTTCAAAACTGAAGTATGACTCATTGCAAAACGGAATTTATCCGAAACATTTATCTAACGAAACGATTTTTCCATTTTAAATTTCAATTCCAGATTGCATCCGTATGTGGTGGACCGTTTTAAAAAAGCGTTTAAAGAGAGTCAAAATACGTTGATTACAATAAAAGATAGTCACTTTGTGCTTGTGAACTCAATGACGCTATCTCGTGATGGGTGCTACTTCTGTGCGGAGGCTGAACAAGAAATTAGACGTATATCACAACGTTTGAATTGTGCAAAGGACAGTTCCAATTCGAGCACCTGCAGAAGAATGACTGATAAATTACCGTTTTATGCACGTCCCATTCTTTTGCAACACTTCCCTACTTACCGTGAATCCGATGAAGTGTGTGTAGAGCACGATTCTCCGCAAATAGAAGCGTACCGTGAAGATTGGGAGGTTTTGTCCAAAGACGCCACTCAATTCCTTGGCAAGGCTCTGAATCCAGCTGTTTCATTCTGTGGTCACTCGCATCATTATTGTCGCTCGTACAATACGTGGAATGTGGAGGAATTTACAATCGCTTCATTCAGCTGGCGAAATAAACGAAGCCCCAGTTTTCTTTTGGTAAGACAAAATGGAAAAATTGAAATTTTTTCGATGAAAAATATTTGATTGTGTCATCATTTCAGGCGGAATTTTCCAACGATGAATATGCTGTTTCAAAATGTGACATGCCAAGCGAACATACAGTGATCTTTATTTACATCATCAGCAGCTTTATAGTGTTTTTAATGTTTTTTTATTTTATATACGACACATACTGTCGTCGAAACTCGCGAAAGCAAAAACCAATGTAAGAAATACAAGAGAATATAAAGACTTTAAAGATTTTCATCCATTTTCAATATAGTTTTTTTTTATTGATTCACAGTACAGATACTAAATATTTCTATCGATTTTGAACGTTCAAATTTATTACTTAGCTCCAGCTAAGCTATGGGAAATATACAGAAACTAATTTTTTGGAAGTTATAAAAAATTGTATTTTATGGTGTATCGGCTATCAATTTGGAATGTAATTCCATTAATCCCTGTGGAAAAATTTAAGTAAATTCATTTAGTAAGAGTTGTCTTGTTAAATGGTGTGTGTTGATGTGATGTATGTGTGTGTATAATGTTCAAAATAAAAGTATCCGCGAATAGTGTTTTTCCATGAGCTAGAGAAAAACGACATGGCATCTGGCATAGACTCGGAATGCTCGGTCAGGATTGAAATCAATCAAATTGCGTTTTCGATCAGTTTTTCATGAACTTCACTCAGTCCCTGGGAATTAGAGAATGGTCTCAGTCAAATTGATGATGTAAACGAATTAGCCATCAGTGATGACCCATCACCACTCCATGCTTTACATAGAATTGAGTGTATTAGTTTGAAGAAGTCAAATTTGTTAGTAAAAACCATTCCGAAGGAGAAAGTAGGATGTTTAGAGTAATAACAGGCACTACTAATAATCTTTTACCCCTGATTTTGAACAGCCACTGCAAAAACACAGTTTCGCATCTTTGGTTGATTAAGCTATTATTGCCATTGATTGATTGTGACGTTACTGTGGTAAAACCTAATCAATTTCGCAATTCTGTGGTTAATGTCTTGATTTACGGCTTAAGTTTTAGTGCGAAAAGCAATTTTATAGATTGAGTGTGTGTAATGTGCATTCCCATAAGGAAAATTTGAAATATTTGCACCATATTTGCAAAACTATATACATGCGAGTGAGTGAAACAAGTGAGATAGATAGAAGCGATAAGAATAGCATGTAGAACAGTCACTTTACCTTGAAATATTTTACGGTTTTGACCCGTAGTTCCAATGTGGCATCTTCGTCACAAAGCATCAACGTTTTCGGATGTTGTTGGAAGGCAGACACAGTCCACATGTGATTGACACCTTCTTCAATCGCCTTATACAGTGCAAACGACTTGTGTGCACCGGTAATCAGAATCATTACCTAAAAAATCGACAATTTGAGCGATTGAATTTTATATACCTTCTCTCGCATTTTACCTCTCTTGCATCCATAACTGTACCAACGCCTACAGTTAGCGCTTCCTTTGGTACTTTCGACATGTCATTTTCAAAGAAGCGAGCATTTGCTGAAATTGAATTTTTCCACAATTATTTCTCGCATTTGCAAAACCCAAACCTTTTTTTGTTCATTTTTGTCTTTAGGGGAAAAAAAAGAAAAATGAATCAACCAACCTTCAAGTGTGTCTTGGGCAAGTGTCTTAACTCTCGTGCGTGATACTAAAGAAGAGCCAGGTTCGTTAAAAGCTATGTGCCCATCCGGACCAATACCGCCGATAAACAGTTCAACTCCGCCAGCTTCTTTAATCTTTTTCTCATAGTTTTCACACTCAAGCTTCAAGTCGGGTGCGTTGCCATCCAAAATGTGTGCATTTTCTGGTTCAATATCGATGTGCTTGAAAAAGTTGTGCCACATAAAATAGTGGTAGCTCTCCGGGTGATCACGAGGCAAATCTATCAAACATTTTATTAATAAGTTCAGGAAAATTGTATGGAAAAATTCCCCCAAAAAAATGGTTCACAAATTGCTCACTTGCATATTCATCCATATTGAAAGTCTTAACATATTTGAATGAAACTTTTCCGTTTTTATGATATTCGACAAGTTTTCGGTACATTCCCAACGGAGTACTTCCTGTTGGTAAACCAAGCACAAAATACCTGCCCCAATGGAAACGGATTAAAAAATCATGAGAAAAATGAAAAAAGAAATGATAAGTCATACTTGTCTGGTCCCGGGTTAAAATCTCTTATACGTTTGAGCACATATTTAGCCGCCCATTCGCCAACGCGATCGGAACTATCCAAAATAACAAGACGCATCTTGTCGTTGTGAGCACAACTGAGTCAATACTGAAACGAGTTGAAATGTTTTTGATGAGCGAACAATAAATTGATAAGTGCGTTGCTTTTTTGCTCTCTCTTTCTCCCATTTTTTTTCATCAGTCTATTTGACTGCATTGGTTTGGTGAAAATCGAAACAATAAAGATAAGTCATCACATAAGAGGGCAACCTCCTCTTGATTGCTTCATGTTTTTTTTTGTTTCTTGTGTTCTTTGTGTTTGTGAATTCGTTGTTTTTTGGCATTTCTCATTCTTATTCCTTATCTGCGTGACGACAAACAAGTTTTTGACCACTTCTTTATGTATTGGTGAGAATCATAAAAAAACTGCGTTAAATCGTTCATTGACCCGAGTCGAATTTTTCGGTGAGACGTCGACACAACGAGACGAGTCGCGTTTGTTCATTGAGAAAAACAAAATTATCACTGCATTTCAACAGAGTTTTAGAGTTTTTTCTTGTAACAATAACAGATTATGTAAGTTGAATTTTACCACACAAAAAAAGGCTGCTCCAAATTGATAATAATACAACTGAACACAAAGAACTGGTTAAAAAATAATTTCTGAAACGATATAAAAAAAACACCGGAGTACCGACCTTTTGCAAATACTTCACAATACAAACTGTGTACGATGCTGTGTACGAACAGCAGCAAAAATAGAGAGTCTTCGTATTGTAAACAAACATATACAGATAATTCTTGACAGTGTTGAAAGTGTTTAACCTGGTGGCGGGGACTGTAAACACTCATCGGCTTTGTCAGTTTGGAAAGGCGGCGGTTTTGAAAGCGATGACTTACCTCAACCAAATTGAACCGAATAATCTGGAAATTTATTCTTTTTATCGTGTAATTGGCGTAGTGCAAATGATTCATGGCTCATTGCTGATCTTCCTTTGAATTTTCAAATCGTCAATAAAAATGACATTCATTTGAAATGAAATATGTTTGCCAAACGAGCTTGTGTAAACTCAATTGGAAATTTTAAATCCAACAACACATGAAATTTTGTGCTTCTTTTGAGAAATGAAAGAAAAACGTTGAGAAAAAACGCGCCAAACATTCTATTTGGATTGTATAATTTCATTTTATTTGTAATACATTTTTATTAGATTTGTATGGGTGAATTGATCCCGTGAGCATAACATAGATTTGTCGGCGTAACATACCAGTGTACAATTTGTTCCGAATTGAACGAGTAACAAATAGGTGTTTCGCTTTGTTCGATGACGTTTTTATAAGTCGTTTTTATGCGCACGGGTTCAATTATGAGAACGTCGGTGAATGACGAGCATAAGATCTAAATAATACGTGCATGCACTAGAGTATTTGCTATAATTTGATATTATTTTAATAAATATCGTGTTCTTAATTGACAGTTGATTCTTTCCATCTTCATTTCATTCATCATTAGTATCAACACGATTTTTGTTTTTGTTTTAGTTTAATTTTGTAAAATAATTAGGCTTATTCTGAAATTCTCAAACGGCATACTTTGTGTAATAGAGTTTGCCAATCTACAATGTTTGATTGTTGTTGGGTTTTTTTTTGTCTCTCAATATAACATAAAATAAATTTAATTTTGATTTAATTTCCCCTAAAAAATTATTATTGAACCATTTATTAAGTAATATATCCAATGGATATTATCCATTTTTCAAATGCAATTAATTGATTCGCAATCATTTGATTCGTTCATGTGATAATTTGTTAAATATATTTTGTGTGAAAGAGTTTATTTTGAGAAGAACTGTAGAAATCGCAACGAATGATAATTCATTGAATAATTATATTGAAGTGCAATGGTGCTCTTGATTCGAATGTGAATGTTTAAATTCTTTATGTGCTCTTTTTATTTTCTTCTTTACGATGTTGTTGAATTTTGGGCCGACAATTCCGAAATTACAACACGTGTTCATAACGCTAAATGAAATGTACAATTTTATTCTCTAAATGAATCATAAACATTGGGGATGAATTCTCTTAGACTGTGTTAGTGTGACTGTGTCTCCTCTGTGTGTGTGCAGTTTTGAATATCACTTAAAATGAATTTATAGAAAATTTACTAAACTTCAATATATTTTGTTAATTGATCTAAATTGGAACATTTTTTTTTCTCTTCCTTATTGGGCTTATAAAATGCATGTCTATATGCTCATTGTGTTCAATTGGACATTGGGAATATATTCAGTTTGAATAATTGCTAATTCAATTTATTATTCGTCAATCAATTTACTGTGAACTACAGTGGAACGGAACGGAACGGTGAACGAACGAATAGTGTTGCAGGGCTGCAAATTACCTATATGACACCAGTATTATTAAATATAGTTTTGTATTTGAACATGTGCTGCATTGAATTACAGTTAAATGGGCTAAATATATACTATAAATGTGTGGTAAATTTATGCAATTTAAATGGCTCAGGACTTTTTTTGTTTTTATTTTGAAAATATGATTTTTTGTTATTGTTGTGGGTTTTTGTTGAATCCACACCGTGGATTTTATATCAGTGCAAATGATTTGTGGCAGATGATGAAGAAGCAATTCTATTGAAACCATTAAAAACAGCTCAAATGGAAATTGTATGCCTTTTCGTGTGAGGGCGTGTTTGAATTTTATACTTGTCATTTTCTGTTTGCTAAATCCTATTTCCGGCTTACTGAACACTGAACAGTAATTCCATAATTAAATATATTTTTAGCATTTTGCAATTTGTTACTTAAATATTTTAATATGTATGGAAACATGCAATTTAATTATAATGACAGGTTTTTGAAGTGCCCCATTCATTCATTCATGGGGACGTGTGTGTGTGTGTGTGTGTGTGTGTGTGTGCAAACAGTGCGCTATTACGGGGATGGTGCCGTAACACTCTATATATCACCTAAAAATAAAATAAAATGATTACATTTTGTACAGTTGCCTGTTGCACACTGGTTCTGCGACTCCTGCTCGTGTTCGTACACAGCAGAAGTAGAAGTAGACTTGCATGCATGGCATTTTCACTTTCCTGTCCAATTTTTCATTGTTCCGTCGTCGTCATCGCCGCCGTGTGTGTTCGAACGTTGCATTTCGGTGTATGCTCTGTTTGAAACACCCTGATGGATGAACGCTTTCTATAAATATATTAATTGGTACACTGACACATTTGCTTCGTCATTTTCTATTTGATTGCATGTGGTGCATCTATAAATATGCTTTTGCCAGAATATGGTGAAACAGTTGTTGAATGCATGTGCCATTTTTCATCCCTTTTCTCTGTTTGCTATCTGCATAACTACGAATCATAAGTGTTGTGAGGGAGTTGGTGGGAGGGAGGGAGGTATATTTTCATTTTATTTATTATTAAAATCTAATGATTTTGGTCCACTGAATACCATACGATTTTTTATCATTTTATCATTTATGAATAGAAATAATGTACACATTTGCATCCATACGAAATTGCAATTTCGTATGAATCTTCTAATTTAAATGGACAACGAATCACAGTAGAAAATGAAAGAAAAATGAAACAAAACCGATGAAATTGCTGCTCTGATGCTGAGAAATGTGAAATAGTCCACTTGATGGAATCAAGCTCATTCGGTAGTGCATCACTCAAATCAGGAAAGTTTTTGAATTTTTTACACTGTTTTGCTCTATTCGAGCAAGTTGCTATGTGAAAGTTGAAGTATTCAAACCAAGAAATACCGGACTTTTCATCCATATAAAATTTAGTCATCCAATATTGTTTGAATGAGGTTTCTCAACTTGAAACCTGAATATTTATGAAAACGACAAAAAGAGAGAGGAAGAGAGTGTGTGAGAGAGATTAGTAAAACGCACAGTAAACACGATGGTTCTAACTTTTAGAACCGCAATATGAAATTTGGCACTAAAATCCATTTTAGTACCATTTGTACTAGAAAAAGTTCAGAATGCACTAAATCAAAAATCAAAGCTTCATGTATTTATTATAGAACTTTTGAACTTTTTCTAGAGCAAATGGTACTAAAACAAAGTTATGTGTCAAGTCCATCGAAATATATTGAGCATTTGGATACTTTGTGTGCTTAAAATGAAATCATGAACAATCTCTCAATCGCAATTCCCACAAGTCAGATGAAATGAAACGGAGAAAAACGGTACGAGATTTTCCATTGAATTCGCACAATTCGTCTCTCGCTCCATCACTTTCGCTTGCTTTCTGTGTGATTGTGTGTGTGTGATGATTTTATGAATAAAACATAAATTATTATTTGATTCTTTTCTTTCTTTCTTTCTACGTTTACATTGAGTTATATACATAAATATCGCTTAGTTTCTGTTCTATTCGATTATGTGCTTTCACCATAAACGATAGAGTTACATATTATCGTTTATTAAGAGGATTTTTACCTCCTTTCATCCTCCTCCTACTACTTCTTCTTTTTTCTTTTCTCTTCGTCTCTTTTACTTTTGATTTTTTTTTCTCTGCGTGTGATTTGGTGTGTGTATTTGGGTGTGGGTTGACTATGTGCTTAATATCAATATGCCACAGGCAGAATCTCTCTACAATTTTTCTCTATTATATCTAATTCGAAATCCCCTAGTACACGGAAGTTTTGACCCATTTTGTGGCCCCAATGACTTTGAGAGTGTCAGCGGCTGATTGACCTATAGGTTGACTGACCGTATAAGTACCGTTTGTGCTCTCGTGCTCCTTTTCAGAGGAGACTTTTTAGCTGGATGCTTTTTGCACGCGCGAACCTTTTCCCAACACACAATTTCCATTGTGTTCGATCTGGCATGGAATTGAAATACGTGAGATTAAACTTATTTTTAGGATGTTTTCGGTTGTTGTGAGTTAAATTATTCTCAAATTTGAATAACAAATTAACACAAAAATTGAGTTGAGAATTTTTGTTTTACTCTATGACACTAGCTAATCCAAGCTGTGTGTGTATACAATTTTCCATTGTGAAAATGTTAAACAGTCGCTATGTTTTACACAATGTTATCGTTTTCTTCTGTCGAGGAATAATCCGAATCATCGATTTTTCTCTTCACCCTTCATCCATTTCGAAACCGAAACAAAATTTGTGCTGAGTCTGATATCGACATATATACCGTAGAAAAACACATAAAATTGCAACGTGGTCCAAGGAGAATTATATTGGCGTGGAAAACGAATAGAAAAACCATTGTATGTTCATAGTATTGGTGCCCGCATCGTGGCAGCAAGAAAAAAAAGCGACGAACGAAGGCGAATGAAGGAAAAAGAAAAGAAAACTGAACGATCAATAAAGGCGAAATGTATTTACTCTTTGTTAAATATCAATAACAAGCGTATAAAAGAATAAGTGCCAAAAACAAAAGCACCATGTAGTAACAAGACAGCAGGCTCGATGCCCCCCGTCCTCATGGTCCTGTTCGATTGCTTGCTTGCTGGCTTCGATACTTGGTACACGAGTGCAAAAAGAAAATCGCAATAATAGTCCATAAATTCCAAGCTCCATACGCTTTGAGCGTTGCGGATCGAAACACAAATCATCATTACTGTAACCACCTCTCAATCGAACGAAACAACCTAATCTGAGGCCATTTCTTACAACACACTTGTGTGCAATTTTTCTTTTGACTTGCTTAGTTTTTCTTTTCGTTCGCTCCATCTGTAGTGTGAGCCATCACATTGAGACACACAAACAAGTCGAAATTATGCTTACCCAGCATTTTTTCTTGATGACTGAAATCTTACACATTTCATTGTTCCATGGCTTTCGCTTTTCTCTTTTACACAATGACGACGTGTTCACGCAATGAAATGTCTATCGATATGATTATTTCAATTTTCCCAACTGAAAAGAGTATCGAAAGCCACAAATTGCCCGAAAGGAAAAAGAAACCGAACAGTGATTTGTTGCTTTCGCTACATGTACACTAGCTCTTACACTTTTAATGTGAAACTTTGCGTTGTTCCTTCGAATGCAATTGCTTGTTCGTAATGAACATTTTTGTTTCTTAATCGGACTTTCTAATAGAAAGTTGCTATTGAACGGCAAACGCAATGAATTTCCCGCTAGCAAGTCATCAAATAAATTCGTAACGAAACTATCGAGACACATACATGCATACACATGGAAAGTTTTGTTGTGGCTGCTCTTTCTATAGATAAATTACCAACTGAAACATTGGAATTTGTGATGGTCAAATGCATTGGCTCACGTTATCTCTCTATATGTGGGAATGCGCGAGCTCTCACCACTCGCTCGCTAACTATACCGCTCATTTATTACTGATTCCGAATGTAATTGACTTCTTTTTCGGCTTCGTGCTTTACATCCGTTTTCATTAGCTCAACGCTTAATGCATAAATTTAATTTCTTTGCACATAAAAATTTACTACATTGGTTAAACGGCAGCATCTGTAGATAGAGCGACAGTTGGACACTAACAAATCCCATAGTAGCACGCACGCAATGACAGAGAGAAAGAGAGAGAGAGAGAGAGAGAGAGAGAGAAGGAGAGAGAGAGAGCGTTCATGCTCAATGTCATTTGGTGGTAGTGATTTATTATAAAGCTAAGTACATAGTTCCTTGTGAAATGAAAAAATTTCTCCGGTGAAATTTTCACAGGTGATATTTTTATGGTGTTTTTTATTTTCGAATTGCAAGCATAATGATTTTTGATGTATAAATCAGCTAACTCATTCCAATATCAACACGACACATGAACAAATTTGGTTTTTGAGTTCATTCTTCTATGTGTTTTGTCTAAACAAATTTTTTTCACGGTCGTGAAAAATATTTCGCGTGCAAAATGTACGCGAAATTTTTTTCACGGCCGTGAAAAAATAAGAAAGATCAAAATAAATTCAAGAATGAATTCAAAATTCAAATTTGTTCATGTGTTGTGTTGATATTGAAGGGAGTTAACTGTTTCATACATCAAAAATCATTATGCTTGCAACTCGAAAATAAAAAACACCATACAAATATCACCTGTAAAAATTTCACCGGAGAAATTTTTTCATTTCACGAGGAACTGTGTACTTAGCTTAATTTCGAAATGAATTCAAAGACATTTCCGATGGTGCACACACCACAACACAGTTACGATATGTAGAAGTGACGTTCAATTGATGCTGCCCCACTTCATCTTGACCATTTTACGTTAGACCAGTTGTCAACAAATGGTGCCATTGCCATTACCACTACCACTATCGCCGTCGTCGCCGTTGTCGGATAGATTGATTATCAAGAATCTAAATTAATACGATTCTTTTTGGAACTACTACGTATGCCCATAGTTTACCATAACATAAATGCGCCACGAGTTAAGTCGGACAGATTGAAATCAACCAGCACCAGAAGTGGATTCGAGTTAATTAATGGAATTAATCAGGCATATATGCATTAAAATGTGTGTGGCGCTGCAAATGAATGCTCGGCATTCCGAATTAATGAAAAATGGAATCGCTTATCGGCGGTAATTTGTGTATGTATGTTTGCGTGCCATTTGAAATATGATGCGGCTTATGATGAATTGAGCCTCATTTCCGGCTTTGCCGCATTGGTCAAAACTACTCAGGCGTTAACTCTATGTGACACAATGTTATAATCGATCACAAACAGTCATTCCAGGACGCGCACGCGCGCGTCCGCTCGCCAAAACCACTACTGTACTGTACTGTAATTATTTTAATTGATATTTTTCGGTTGATTCCAAAGGAATCAAGCTTGAATGGCTCGTTTGGAATTTCATTTGATTCATCATGGTAAATGACTTTGGGCATCGGTACAAACGCCATCGTGTCATCGCTATCTCATGTCAATTTTGATGGATTTTTATTTCTGACACAAACAAGGATGTTGCTTGTCAATTTTTATGCACGCCTCACTTGCTAAACATTATCACCAATTTGTTGACTGTCACCACAACAGTTTTGAGCGATTGCAAAATATTTTTTCGCTCCAAGAAAAATTGTCAAATAATGATGTAAATTTTGCGAAATTTCTATTGGCGAACAGATTTTATCGTGAAAAAATCACCGAAAAAAGCAGAAAAAAAACAATTGTTGTACAAAAGCTGAAGAAAAAAAAAACTTGAAAATCAATGTTTTGATGCGTGCTGATTGAATGCGGGAACAAAAAAAAACACGAGAACATTGATGTTGTAACGGGTGGTGTGTTGTTAACTTCGAAATGGAAAAGTAAACATAACAAATTACATCGCATAATCAGTTCAGTGAAAGAGATGATTTGTTTTGTGCTCATTTGAAATGGCAAAGTAAATAGTAAACAGGGAACGAAGAGGTGGTGGTAAACATGACATTTGCGGAATACATTCTCAATGTTTGTTGTTGTTCTTTTTCTCTTATTTTGTGTTATCTTATGACAACAACAAAAGCGATTCAATCAATTGGAAATCATTGTTAGCGCACAATGAACGTTCATCGGTGAAGGTGATACAGAGCTGAATGTATAATGATTATTATTATTATGGCTGAGAAAGAGATGCTTTTTTTTAAATACATTATTGTGTTGTTTGTTGAAAATGTGATCGGAAACGAAGAGAAAAAATACTTGGCTGAATTTTAATTGCATTCTCATATTTATTTTGGTTATTGCGTCCAATGACGGGCACAATCCAATAATTGACTTTGGTGTGAGGTACCTTTTCGATCAAAACAAAGTACTTTGCTGAGAATAGAAACTACTCGACACAATAATATTCTGAGGTCATTTCATTCAGCTGGAGAGGTGATGCACAGATCTAAGAAAAACGAGTAGGACTTTGTATACAAACACATCCCAGAAATGGAAAATTGATGGCGTACAGATTGAAAATTTATGTTCGAATAATTGCTCATTTTGAGTCTCAAGTATTTGGTAAATAACAAGGTCACGGATAGGAAACGTATGGGCGAAATTATGAACCATACCCCAAATATCAAACTGATTTTTGTTTGTAACTTTGCTAGAAATGGTTCTTGACTAATCTGTCAAACATATACCAATACATTGCGCCTGAAAGGCACATAGATGTCGCTGGCAGTCAGGTTTCTCTCAATATAAAAGATATGTTATGAACGAAATCATGATCGGCTCTCGTGCGTCATTTCCATCATCATAAATCAAAATAATCTGTCAAAATCTCTATAAATTGAATTTCACGCAAACAAGCACCGAATGTGTGTATGTTTCCTATTTCATATAGAAAACGAGGAGAAAAAATTGTTGTGCCTTTTGTGTGTATGTTATATATATAATATGAAATGACTCAGTACTACAATGGTGCTAAAAATTATATTGTATCAATAACAAATCCTCTGTACTCTTGGTGGCCCATCCAAATCAATTTCTCGTTCCACCGTTCTCATTTTCACTTAAAATGCGGACAACACTCTTTGTTCAGCCGCGTAATCCTTCATTCAATTTTCAAGTCCATAAAAACTTTTTCGATCATTCGTTCTAGTTAATGCTCGTGGCTTTGTTTGGCGTCTTTACGTGCGCTTCCCCCTCTCCAGCTCTTTTTTTTAAATCTCCGGATATCCGACACGAGTGAACGAGCCAGCAAGCAAACGAGTTAGTAAGAGTACACCATTCAAGCAAAGTGAATATTTTCGTTTTTCTTGCACGGTCACCCGTTTAAAGTTTACTCATTCCATTCGGCTTCATGTGATTATTGTTATATGGCTCTCAAGGTTACGTTCCACACTCTCCCCGCTAGCCTGATCACGATTTTCGATGCCTTTGTTCAAAAACGGTTGTCGGCTAATCCCATATATCCGACAGTGAGACGAGAGAAGAAAAAAAATCGAAATTATAAAGCGTGTGACGCGAACAACTCTCCGCGTGTCAACTCCCTAACATTTTCTACGTTGTGTTCCTTTCTTTTCTCCGCTTTTGATTGTTCAACAAAAAAAAAGTGAGTAAAAACGAAGGAATAATGATGCGTTTTTCATTTCGGCCTGAGTACGGTTGATTCAACATGCCAACCATTGTAGTCTTATAGAGATTAAGAAAAAAGAAACCGAAAAGAAAATGGTTTGACAAAAAAGAACCATCAAGTGTCCGATAGCCTGAACACAAGTGAACGATAATTTTGAGCACAACTTTTGCCGAAAGGACCGACAAAATACGGGACGATGTTGACAC